CAGGGAATCTTGGTTATTGTATTCATCAAAACAAATATCTAGCCCAAGATGATGAATACAACTACCATGATTCCCTTCAGGCATGTCTCAGAGGGGAAAATGGCCATTGAGCCTCCAGTGAGGATCTGTAAAGGAGGGCTGGAATCTCAGTGTTCAGTTACATTGTCGGCAACTTCTCAGATATCAGTAAAAATTGCAACCCATTCCTGAGCAAACAATTAACATTTTAACCAATTCTCCTCTGCCAGCCAAACGCCGACACTGGTCTTCATCCCCAAAATATCCTCTAGTTGAGCTGTAAAACCGTTTAATTACTAATTAAAACTAACTCAGCTTAAAACTGACTCAGTTTTGGGGAGATGTTTCAGTCAAGAACTCCATAATGAATCATGTGAGTCCCACTCCCTGTGAGTGCAGTAATCCAAATGGTGTGAGGTAGAGAGCAACCAGGGGATATTTTTGGGAAGGGAACCAGCTTTGAATTGGTGAATATCTTGGGCCAAGAATATACTGGCCAAATATCTCCAAAGCCACCTTTTCCCATTTGTTTTGCAAATGCATGTGGTGTCTGAAGCAAGTGGGAAAACAGAGTTGGCGCTTCACTGCAAGCCATCCGAGAAGCAGTTTCAGTGGAAGAGACTGACTTTTTTGCAGATGTATTAGACTCTTTCATTGATTTCAGTGAGTCAGCCAACCCAGCCAAATTCTCTGGGATCGCACAGGGAAGGGTACAAAATCAAAAGAACTCATGGTGTCCCATGGGAAAAGGAACAGGAGAACCTCGGGAATGTGAAAGGGAATTGCCAGTAGTAACTGTATCTTGATACTACACAAAGAGATGTGGGCAAGAAAGTACTGGGACCAGGGCAACCCCAGCAGGGGGGTTTCTCCCCAAAGATTTTGGTGGGGTGTGTGGCCCGAACCTTGAAACCTGTACCCTATTTCAGGCCAGCATGGAAAATCAGATCGAAAATCCTGTGCCTCTGTGTCAGATACCCCCAGTTAAAGGACCTCTTGGGCCATACCAACTCCTTGAACCCTGCTGAAAGTGTGAAGGAGGAGTAGGAGCACAGCTGACCACATCACAAATTTAATCTACAAGGCAAGGGAGTTTTTGTCTCCCCTTTACACCAGCTCAAAGGATTTCTTTCTCTGGGGAGAATCTGCTGAATAAATTATGTGGATATAGGCACAAGACTATGTGGAGGAATCTGTTGACCTTTGCACATACACGCCTTGCAGATTTCTATAAATACCCAAACCTCTGCAGCAGAGAGTTACGCCTATCCCTACCTTAGAAAGGTAGCATAAAATTAATTGTGGGATAAGTGCGATTCAGTCATGTCAATGTTTTGATAGTTGGGGAAGTAGAGGGAGCCTCTAACCAAGGAACCATGTCTTCCATGCGCTGTCAGGGGTATTCAACTTCTTTATTTTCAGTTTCATCACAAATTCATTAATTTTGACAAAATATGATCAACACTTACTGAAACTCGTTTAAAACTCGATAAATGTTTTAACACTAACGGATCTTATCAAAAACTGAATCTGACTCATCCCCAGTCCTCTGTTGTAAGGAAGTATCATGAAGACATGGAGGACAACAAGTCAGAAATTGAATACTTGCACAGTTAATATTAAAGGGAGAGTTTCTCGGTGCGGCGCATGTCTGTATTATTTATTCGCGTGTGCATGCTTTTTGGCACTGGCCCAGTTTTTCATTGTTTATGAACCAATCATAAACAACTTACCTTATTTCGCATGCAAATAGCCATAAAATCATCAGCAATGGAATAAATTGTACAGGTCAACACTAAATTCAATAGTCGACAGTGTCTGTAAAATCCACTGAAACCTGAGAATTTTGGTCATCCATCATTCTGGGACGACTAACTATAGCATGTGATTAATTAACTACATCTGAGTGGGGTTTTTTAAAGCGATAACATTGATAAGAAGCAAACAAAAGTATTTTGATTTAGAGACATGTGCCAAGCCGTGAAACCCTCCCTTTAATAACAGTAACTTGACTTTATAGAAAGTTTTTGTCAATATAAACAGTATCGATTAATATAATGATACATATAATTCCTGTAAATAGTACAATAGAGAAGTCTTTATCATAATTCTTAACTCAACATAGGACTACCTACAAATTACTCGCAAAAAATTTCAGACAAGTTTAATTTCGGACAAAGAAGTGTCCGAAAATAAAACCATCCAAAATTTTTAAGTGTCCAAAATATTTACAATACAGTATTATACTTTTAAGCAGTTTCAAAGCTCTTAGTTTCCTAATATGGAAGGAACTCTAATTATGACACTGCTTGAGATATGTAACAGCGTGTCAGTGTATCTGTAAAACCTCGAGGGAGCAGTTAAACTATCATTTTCACAGCTGTTGTTTTGGTTTAATTCATGTTTTTTGTGCATAAATTTACCTTAGCTATTAATTTGTTTCTGCCAAGTGTCTGAACTTTTTGTCTGAAATTTGTCTGAAATGAGATAAAGTGTCTGAAAATCAAATGTCCGAAATAAAGCATCTGAAATTTTATCGTCCAAAATGTTTTGCAAGTAATATAGATGACTTTTGACCTAATAAGTAGAATGCGTACTTGATTGGTAAGATGATGACACAAATAACATTCACTACTGCATTGTCTAAACAATCACACAAACATTTTTTTTTAAATTATTGTTAATGTAAATACATGTAACGGTATGGTGGTCAACCGTAGTTAATACCAGTAAGTGAATATGATTCATTTCCGTTTTCTTGTTTTAAGGCCTTTTAACAGTTCAGCAATACTAAAGTAAACAACATTCTCCTCATTGTTCGTACATGGTTCCCCTTTGTTGTGTATTGTTTCATGTTGCCTTAAACTTCCTGGATTTGTGCAGCACCTGCCACAATACTTACAAAAAAGAGACTTCTCTACTGTGTGCATTCGTTTATGTCGCCTTAAAGATCCCGAAAGATTAAAACACTTGCCACACTGGTTGCATTCAAAAGGCTTCTCTCCTGAGTGTGTTCTTTTATGTTCCCTTAAATGTCCTGGCTGCCTAAAACACTTGTCACATTGATCGCATTTATATGGCTTCTCTCCTGTGTGGATTCCTTTATGAATCTTCAAAAGTGCTGCACGATGGAACCTCTTACCACACTGGTTGCATTCAAAAGGCTTCTCTCCTGTGTGCGTTCTTTCATGTTCCGTCAAGAGTCCTTTCTGATTAAACTTCTTGTCACATTGGCTGCATTGAAAGGGCCTTACTCCTGTGTGCAATGTTTTATGTACCTTTAAAGTTGATTGCTGACTGAAACGTCTGCCGCAATGGTCACATTCAAATGGCTTCTTCTCTAAGTGTATCAACTGATGCCGCCTTAAATTTCCTGCCAGAGCAAAACACTTACCGCACTGGTTGCATTTAAAAGGTTTCTCACCAGTGTGTATTCGTTTGTGTTCTCTTAACCGTCTTGCAAGATTAAAACGTTTGCCACACTGGTTACATTCAAAAGGCTTCTCTCCTGTGTGCACAAGTTTATGGTGCTTAAAATGTCCTGACCATCTAAAAACCTTGCCACACTGTTCGCATACATAAGGCTTTCTTCCTGTACGTCTTACACGTTGCTTTGATGTTTTTGCCTGCCTAAAACACTCATCACACTTGTTGTCTTTTAAAGGCTTTTCTCCAGTGTGTTTTTTCTTACCGGCAAGTTTCTTTACATTTCCTGGTCGTTTAAACCACTTCCCACACTGGTCACATTTAGAAGGCATGTCTCCTACAGATATGTGTTTGATGTGGCTTTTATGGTCCTGTAGGAATAAAATGCAGTAATTATTAATTTTAATGTCACGTATTTGGTTGCATTCTACAAGGCATTTCTTTGTAAGAAATCTCTTAAGTTTCCATAGAATATCCACCTGATCATTGATTGATGCACTGATTTGGCTGTTTATTTATTTATTTATTTATTTATTTATTTATTTATTTATTTATTTATTTATTTATTTATATTTTATTTTATAATATAGATAGGACCCTGTGCGCACACTGATTGGTCAAAAACCCATGTTTTATCAGAGTTTAAAACAGAGAAAAAGTGTGTTTCATTGTTTTTGGCCACATTACCTCTATGTAATAAAGCAAATGAAGAAGCCTAAGTCATGTATTACACTGTGAAAAAACACTCCAGACATTTGAGAACACTCGAGAAATGTAGAAAACACTCGCCTGCAGCTCATGTTTTCTACATTTTCTTTCCTCGTGTTCTCAAATGCCCGTCGTGTTTTATCACAGTGTAATACACGGCTTAGGTATGCCTTTGAATAATTTGTAATAAATAACTAAANCTCATGTTTTCTACATTTTCTTTCCTCGTGTTCTCAAATGCCCGTCGTGTTTTATCACAGTGTAATACACGGCTTAGGTATGCCTTTGAATAATTTGTAATAAATAACTAAATAAATAAATAAATAAAAATGTAATGATAAAATCTCCAGTCAAAGGATGAGGAATTAGCAAAGAAAAGAAAAAAAAAAAGAGAAAAAAAATGTAACAACTCTTTGGCTTCAGTACGATACCCAGATATGATAGTCAATCATATCTGAACTTTTGATTTTTTGCAAAGCTGATGTTGAAAATAAATAACAAGTTTTTCAAGGCTTGAGTTACTTCGGCAGAACACGTTAGTCGTTTTTTTTTTATCTTTGCTCTAGCGAATTTATTCACCAAACACAATCAAAGAGGGTCGTACAGGGGGTCTCTGGCACGGTTCACAAACGTAAAAAATAGAGGATCACAGATACATGTATAAAAATTTCGTTTTCCCGAATCACAAAAATAAGCAAGTAAGATACTCTTTTCAATAACCTCTCCTTACACTAGAAAGAGTGTTTGAAGAAAGCAAAATCGCGAAGACCAAGTCAAGGTTCCATACTGCAAATAGCATACCTAAGAGACTCTCGATAGATGACTTAAACCATTCGGAGGATTCGCGTCTCAAAATCATGAAGAATAGAGTGGTAAAATCACGAATATCGGTTAATAATTCAAGTTCTTCACGGGTCACGCAAAACCTTCAGGTCACGAATCACTAAGAATAATTTCCTAAATTCACGTTTCACGGAAAATAAAATCAGCTAATCACGCATCACAAGAATGCCACTGTACAACCCTC